ACAAAATTAGTAAATGGAAATACTACTATTAGGATGGCAATTCTTTGGACTTATCCTAAGGCGATCAATCCTGTTTTTCAAAGCCTGGGAGAACTGCAAAATCTTCTTGATGACTATACATCCTGAATAAACAATAGTATCGCACAAATATTATATTATGTAATGCATTTTCTAGTTTCTGTACTTTAAAAACAAACTAACAAGCAGAAAAAGTTAATTCTGAAATTTTACATCTCCTTAAATGCAGCAAGTCCACTGCACTTAACACACAACAATTTACAATTGTGTATGATCAGTGTATTGAATATACCACTTTAAATAACTTTTTTCCAATTACAAGAAAATCTGTATTCAATAATTACATAATGACAGTATTTGTGCGATATCAAAGTACTTTTGATGACACTGTATATCATTTCACATGGTTTTGACAAGTATTTGTGGAAGAAAAATATTGTACAAAACTGCTTTTGACATGTCCAGATTCAGCAACAATTAAGTGTACACCCATGGTGAAGAAGACTGGAGTAGAGAGAGAGGAAGCAAGCAAGAAAACTAATGTACAGACCAGAAGTAAATGTTTAGGACTGACAGGACAAAACTTTGTGGAAGTTGCTGTAGACAAACAAAGGAAGGGGGTGTGAAGGTGCGGAAATAAAGAGGAAGAGTAAGGGATAGAGATAGACATGACTGTAACAAAAGAAGCAATGAGAAGAACTTTTCAAAACTACTACTTCCTATAATCTTCACTTTTTTCTTCCCTACCCATACACAGTAGAGAAACAGATGCTCAGGTAGAAGATACAGTACCCTGGATGTCTTCATTTAGCCTCAGGATTAAGCCCCATGACATTTTGAGATAGCTGAGAATGAGATTAATCTGAAGCCACAGATTCCTATGCAATGCAGTAATTTTAGAAAACCAAAACAATTACAGTGTTAGCATCAGAGTTTAACACCCCATCAAGAGACGCAATTGTGGAGTTCATTCTCTGTTACTTAGAATATGCACTCCTAAAACATTAGAAATATAAAATTATGTGGCATAGCTCAAAGCCAAGCAAACAAATACAATCATTTCTCCTATATTGAAAATACTTCATCACGGTAATTCAAAGGGTTTAACCAGAAATTTCTGAAACTTTAAATTAATGAATATATTAATAAATTTGATCAATAATGAAATTTGAGGGTTTACATTCAGATGTTATTTACAATATCTTCTGAATAAAGAAAAATTTCTGTATAAAAAATTTGGCAAAAAAATTTCAAGTGATTTAGTTAGAATAATGTAGAATGGGCTGGGATATATGGGTTTCTTGAGTTCATCAGGTTATTCCACCATTGTGTGAAAGTATTTATAACTGCCTTCACATGGGATTTTTATAACTCATTTCTGCACTTTCTTTGACATGTATCCGGCAACGATAATGCTGGAAGTCACTTCTGAACTTACTAATTTGGAAGTAGTGCAATAATTTTCTTTTCAATTGGCAGCTTTGCTCTCTTTTCCCTACCTTCATAAGAATTATGGTCAGTTTTTCAAAATAACTAGATCTTTGGCTTAGACAAGAAGAATATTAAAACAAAAAAAACTATTTTTAAATAAAATTAAGAGTATCCGAATCCAAACTGCTAATCACTGTAATTGTTTTGAAACCTTAATAAAAGCATTAGCTGCCAAGAGTATACCAAATCTAATCACAAACCCAATGCATTTGTAGTATCATCTGTGAGGACATCAACATCCAAGAAATGCATTTTAGATGTTGTTATTTGACCGGAAATGTTTAATACTCCTTGCATTTGAGGAGAAAGATGGAACAGAGGTTATGTCCCTTCAGCTGCATCACACATATATCAAAATCACTTTTTTCTTCTGTGTCTGTTACCTGCCATCTTAAAAACATTACTGCCGTCTGCATACTGAAGTGATACCTTGACTCCCATAGAGCAAGGTAGCTCTTCATGTAGAAATTTTGTCAGTACAGCTTGAAATTTCTTCCTGTGCATAAAAGACAACTGTGAAATTCAGTACAATCAATGTAAAAGGTGCTCATCTGAGACTATCAACTATTTTTATTGTTGTTGTGAAGCTTTGAATAATATAACTAAGGCTGGAGTCAGTAAGCATTGTGAGAAATTTGTAAGAAGACAAAGATGTAGTCTGTAGAGCCTAAACTCATAATCTTACAGTTCTTACTTCAATCACCTTGCCACTTCTGCTTGAATGATATGAAAGAGGACAAATTGAAGATTTTTTGAGTTCTGCAAGGAGTATATATACACGCCTGGAACATCTCACACACACGCACATTAGGTACCCTACCCTACCTTTAATGAATCTTTAAAACAACATCATGTAATTTATTGGTGAAATTTATACCAGCACACCAAGAAAGATGCACAGTCAAAGGTGCTTTTTACAGTTACTACTATGCCTATATAAAGACATTTTTTTGATGTATAAAAGGAGAAACCAGACCATGGATTACAGGCAGTAGGCTTAATTTATAAAAAAAAATTAACAGCTAGCGTGTGAACAACATGGAAGAATAGCTAAAACAAACTCCGAATCAGTTTCTCTAATCAGTACAATCTCTTGGCAAAATTTGTTTACGAAAGCCAAGCAAAAATACTTTGTGTGTAACAGTCCAATCTGTGCTGCAATTTTAGCAAGAGGCCTGTGTAAGTCATGCGGGTATGAAAAATGTTAAGCTCGAGTGTTAAGTTTATTATAAGCAGAGCTGTTTGGAAGCAGTGTTTAATGGCACAGCATATGGGTGTGTTTTAAGTGTGCATTTCATTGACAACAAATAGTTGGAATACAAAGGGTTTCAGTGAATAAGCATTAGGAGCAGTAGTGTTCTCTCCCAGTGCTTGCTACCTTTTCAGGTTTTACTTCAGTAAAATAAAAATATCCTACAGTCATAGGTAGAGCACCATCAACATGTAATTGACTACTTTCAAGCTAGCATTTACTGTGATAGATTTAAGATTTTCCTTGTACACTCAGATGGCATGATGTGGTAGAAGTTGTTATACCTTAAGAACTATAATATTAGCTAATCTCATCCCTTCTCAGTATTTTAGGTTCTAGGAAAAAAAACAACAAAACAAAAAAACAAAGCCCATCTGAAGAAACTAATTCAGAGAATCTCAGTCACAGAAAAAAATTGGTTCATCTAAGTCCAAATCATTTCAGTTTACATTCATGCTAATAAAATTCAGATAAATTACTCTGGCTGCCAACCCACTGACTTCTGGCTGAGGAGTACACACAGCTGGATGCCTGTAAAGCAGGCAGGACACAATTTCTGCATATAGGTTAATGACTGTTCTGCGTCATCAACAGAGTACAGACACTACACTAGGGAACTCAGAAGAGCATTTTGCCTGCCTTTCAAATTTCTACTGAAAACAGAATTCATTTTCTATCTGAATCAGGTTATTATATGAAAATCTGAAAGCAGACTACATTACAGCATGAAGGATAAAAGGGAAATTACGCCCCTGTTGTAAAGTGACTTAAGCTACCTAGTCTCTTGAATTTATGACAGATCTGACCCCTAAAAGTCAGTTTCATCTTCTCCTTCTCTTATTTCTCACTGCCAACATTAGTCTGACAATAGGATCGATGCAGACATAATGCAAACTGATTAAATGATGCAGCAAGTTTCTTACTTTCTTTTTTAGAGATTTGTATTCTGACAAATAAAGATGTTTTGCTATTGATAATATTTTATTCAGCTACAGCCTTTATCTTTCAGAAAGAAAAAAAAAATCATCACAGATAAGGGTGGCCCAGACCATACACCATAGTTTAAATAAGCAAGTATTTCTTAATTTCAAGCACATTAGAAAAAAATCATTTTTTAAAGTGAGTTATACGTTTTCATAGTAACATTTAAGCACTTCCTATCTACAAAAAGCTTTATCATTACTTGATCCATAACTGTTTTTTTGCGTACATGGGTTGTAACAACAGCCATCCTGCAGGGCTGCGGTTTGGACTGTAACTACAAAGTAGTGAACAGGTGGTCTTTTGCAACCTGCTTCTAACTCTGCCATTAGGCAACCTCTCCACACTCCTCCTCACACTTCACACAGTCTTTGCCCACTCTTTTTCTATTGTTGTACAGAAAATACTCAGTTTTTTAATGAGCAGCAACAGCCCCATTATTTAAAAAGGGGAATTACCATAGGAACCTAAAACTCGAACACATTAGAAAACAGCCACAAAGTATAATCAGTGTTTCTGATTTTATTCACCTTATTGGTAATCTTTGCTTTTGTGTTTTGCCTCACGCATTCCCAACAACTGTTAGAATTGCATGAATTATGCTTGCACACAATCTCAGAAAATTTAAGAAAATTGTCAATCCTGGCATACTCAAAAAGAAGAGATTTCTGGTTCTTGTAAGGGAGGAGTATCAAAGTCAAATACCTCCAGAATTCAACTGACTACTTTATAACCCGTGTGTCAATGTTCCCATCTAAAAACAGATTGAAAATGAGTTGCAAACAGGAACTTCTGTGATGGTGCATACAGTTTGTTACTGACCTTTACAAATGACACAAACTACACATTTTTATTCAAAATTTGGTGACTTTAGATGCAAGAAGCCCAAATTATGTTCTCAAAACATATACTAATATAAGAGATAATACAGTTTGGTTTGATATCAATTTTGAGTTGTAAACACTAAGCTGAATCTCCAAAATGGATACCAGTTATTCCATCTGGAAATGCCAAAAGACCAAAACCAGAAAATACTGTCAACCTCTTTCACCTTTCAAAGTGGTGGAATCTAGATTTAAAAATTCTAACAGTAAGTTTCTATCAAGAATAGGGTGTTTTTTGTGTTTTTTTTTTTTTTTTGTTGTTGTTGTTGTTGTTGTTGTTGTTGTTGTTGTTGTTTTGGGGGGATTTTTTGAGCCTAAAAATAAGAGCCAAGCTGTTCAAAGCCAAATATTAATTGCAAATAATAAGAACTTACCTTCCTGTCTGTTGTTTTTTCTTTTTAGCCATTTTTCAACAGTTTCCGCACTTACGCTTTCTGACACAAACTCATCCAGTACCTGGGGATGAAGGGAAAGATAGGCCTTCACTTTTTCATCTGTTAAACCTGCAAGAGAGAAGATTAATTGATTACAACATTGGCACGAAATTCTCCATGTGAAACAATACAGAGATGTCAGTAACAAAATATATCATAGAATCATAGAATCATAGAATCACCAAGGTTGGAAAAGACCTAAAAGATCACCCAGTCCAACCGTTCACCTATTCCCAATAGCTCCTACTAAACCATGTCCCTCAACACAACATCCAGCCTTTCCTTGAACACCCCCAGGGTCGGTGATTCCACCACCTCTCTGGGCAGTCCATTCCAGTGCCTGACCACCCTTTCTGAAAAGTAATACTTCCTCATGTCCAGCCTGAATCTCCCCTGGCGTAGCTTGAAATCATTCCCCCTGGTCCTATCACTAATGACACGAGAGAAGAGGCCGACCACCAGCTCACTACAACCTCCCTTCAGGAAGTTATAGAGAGCAATAAGGTCTCCCCTGAGCCTCCTCTTCTCCAGGCTGAACATTCCCAGCTCCTTCAGCCTCTCCTCATATGGCCTGTGTTCCAGACCCCTCACCAGCTTTGTTGCCCTCCTTTGAACACGTTCCAGGGCCTCAATATCTTTCTTGCAGTGAGGGGCCCAAAACTGGACACAGTACTCGAGGTGCGGCCTCACGAGTGCTGAATAAAAAAAAAAATAAATAAATAAAAAATAAAAATAAAAAATAAAAATAAAAATAAAATAAAAAAAATATCCTTGTGTATAACGTGCTGATTAAATACAGGCCTATTTAAATTGTCTTCCCAGAATGATATCCAACCAAATATAACGAGTTATCACATAAAAAGTAGTAGAAGCAAAATGCAACCATACATAATGCTCTGTACACTCATAAGGAGTGTCCTCTGTGACACTCAATATGAGCTTTCCCTGGGAGAAATGGACAGAAAGAAATTTGTGAAGTAGAACATAGATACTGGGGCTGGGACAGGGACAGGTAGTGAAACAAAACGTTGGCCAGCAGCTTTGAAAGAAAACTGATACAAAAGCAGTTCCAAAAAAAAAAAACAAAAAAAAAAACAAAAAACCAGCAACATGCTTCAGCAGCTAACAAAGACTTCACATTTAATTTTGTTCTGTGACATGAGACTGCAGCAAAGAGGAACTAAAAAACTATGTTTATTTTTATTTTATTTTTATTTTTTCCCATGAAAGCAGAAGACAATTGAAACATGGTAAGATGGGAAACAACTAGTTGTGGGCTCAGGCTGGGTGCATCACAGAATCATAAAATCATAGAATCACAAAGGTTGGAAAAGACCTTTAAGATCATCTGGTCCAACCATCAACCCATTGCTATCATAACAGGGAACAACTAACACAAGCAAATTCATGCATGTATCATTGCATCTAGACATAATTAGGACTCTGAAATTACTTATTTGCAAGATATGCAAGAGAATGTAGCAGAGAGCTGATAAAGAGGCTCTCTCTAGGATGGAGATAGAAAAACATAAACTGGTACACAGCAAATTTGGTATTCTCACAAGTGGGGAAAAGCAACCAAACTCCATTACAACACCAAAACCAAGTGCAAACTTTAATTACTAGAGTTAATTAAGTAATATTAGAAATACAAATGGTTTTCAAATGCATAATTCTAACGTCTAATGTTATCAGTTATCAAAATAAATGCAATTGTAGATAAAAAGACTTCACAATAGCAGTTGCCACTAAAACACCAGTATACACTTCAAAAAACCAAGTGAAAGTCAAATCTTCAAATCCCTGATACTAAATAAATTTCCAAATTCAAACTATGACAATCTGCTCAGACTCTTCACAAACACACCAAAGAAAACCACTGTCTTCAGGGATAGGAATGTGAGGGTGCAGAGGGCTTTCAAGGGAGGATGGGAAATCAGTGAAAATGTCCCAAGAGCCTAAGGTTCAAGTTGTCCCACAGGGATCATACATTGAATACAAAGCATTAATTAGATCTGAGGGGAAAAGGAACAACAAGAGCTGTAATGACTCTAAATACTCCTCGGCTGGTGGTGTGAGTGTATAAGTGAAACTGTTTCTGTACAGCTGAAAAGTAACCGCAAAGCACAGACTAGATTCAGCAAAAGAGAAACTTCCTTCCAGACAACTCTGGCCTCTTTTGGGGAGCGTTCATGCTATAACACAAGATCAATTTTCCTACTTCATATTTGTCACAATGTCAGAATACGCTGAAAAGAGCTGTAGCGTATTTAAATGTTAATCAATGACCACAAGCTTTGAGATCTCTTAGAAACACTATGAAAACATTCAGGACGCAGCACCCCAGCACTGTCTGCAGGGCTTCAACCATCTGCTCCTCACATATGCCCACAGCCGCTCCATCATTCAGCCCCCACCAGCACAACCCATGTCCAAAATACCACTTCTCTTATCCACCCACAGCTGCAGCCTACCTGGGTTACCAGTGCCTCAGGTATCAGTGCTTGCACTTACAGGCAAGAAACTCTAGATCCGTGCTGCTCAAATTAGAGACCTAAATGAGCACGCTGATCTTCACTACCGAAGAAGCAAAGATGCTTGTCAACTCAGTAAAAGTAGGAGATGATCAACAAGTTTGGAAAAAAAAAAAATATCACGCTACTTTGTATTCAAACCACTTTGAGGATTTAACCTTAGGTAAAGGCTTGTAAATTGAGGTCATAATACATCTATAAGGAATTACATCTTGTACAGGAATGAAAAAGATTTTTCAGTCTCACTGACCAACACCTCCCATATGGGAAAAAAAAAAAAAAAAAAAAGGCTAAATAAGATGACTCCATAATTCATTTAATTAAGAAAAAAGTAACACTTCAAAAAAGAAAGTCTTTCTAATTTCATTGTAAAAAAATCTGAAAAGAAAGTATTTTGAGAAAAACTCATAAATTACTATGAAGTATTGAAGATTCAGAGTTTGTCATCAGAAAGATAGTAAAATTTATCTGCTTCTTAAATTTGGAACGAGTAATGCTCAATACAGGCTAGTCAGAGAATACCTGCTAGTTTATGGATGTTCTCAGGCCACAAATAAATGAATGGTTTTCCCTTCTAATAAGAAGCGAGGAACTGGAAAGTTTGTAAAATTAGCAATGGAAATTCTGCAAGGTTCGATATACATTTGAAGTGAGAATAACCTCAGCATTCTAACGTGTGAAGTATTCATTCCTTAACTTCAACAGAAACACTCATTGAAATCTTTACAGGATGTTGTTTTTTGGGGCTTTTTTTGTTTGTTTTGTTTTTTGCTTGTTTGTTTTCAATAAACACATTAAAATTTGATAAAACATCTATATTTGAAATAAGACTTCAGTCTTCATGTCAAGGGTTTAATTACTGCTTTCAGGTAACTTGCAATTCCAGCAACCCGAGGGCAAACATTCTGCTTTAAGCTTACTTGGAAAATGATTCATGGAGCTGCTATAAGAAATGCTACAAACACATTTAAATTACCCTCCTTCATTTCCATAAAGGTATCTGTGTCTGAAGATACAGTATTTAGATATTTGGATAGGTGCAAGCAGAATAGGATTTAAATTTACATACAGATTTTAAGAAAAAAAAGAGAACAAGAAATATAGATCTATTTTCTAGAAACAACAAACAAGATTTAGTGATCCTCCTGATCTTTGGTCTGTTTATTCGAAAAACACATGCTACCATTGTACAAAAACAAACAAACAAACAAAAAACAACAGCAAACGCCAACGATAACAGATTGTGACTTCAGAAAATCTTCACAGAAAAAATGTCCACTACTTCCACTGTGCTTCCTACACAACAAGAATATTTCTACTGACTCCCCACTGACTCTAGTGCTATCTCCTCTTGTTCTTCAACTCTGGCATGGAGCATAAGCTACATTCTCTGATAGAGGTCAGGTATCAAGAGGAACCCCACTCAGGAAGGCAGAGCTCTGGCCAACACCTTAGCATGCACCCAGCCAGAAAACCCAGAATGACCAGAATGACCTCAATTCTTCTGAGAATTAGAGGAATCTGACATTTTGGTAGAGCATCAATTCATTCCATGTATGCTTCAGGGTTTGCCTTCCTGATTTATACACATCCTGTTTAAATAAACACACACACAGACACAATCAAACAATCTTTCTCCCTTGTATTTTTATGCAATAAGCCCATGTTTCAGTGCTGTTATCTTCCTTGTGCAACTTGCTAATGCCATGCAGACGTTCACTATTTGTATCACTGGATTCGTGACTAAATAATCAAAATTATAATAAAAATATAATACGAAAGAGTACGTGCATATCAGATGAGCGCTTCCTCTTTTCATTTCCCTCAGAACAAACTGCAGGCAAAGGAACTGTTCAGCCTGCCCTCTCCATGCACCAGGTCAGCAGCTCCCAGCTTCCTGACCAGCACAATTGTTTAGGTTCTCTTCGCAGATCTCAGTTTGAAATGTTCTCTTTGGCTATGCCATCTAAGCTTAAAAAGCTAATTCGTAGGCATGGAAAACATTAATCAAGGCTTGTTTGATTTCATTTTTTCCATTTCTCAGTTATCCCTGTCTGAACAGTAAGTGAAAAGACAGCCTTTCTATAAATGACAGGTTTTACGCAAGTGTTTCGTATTACTGCGCTTTTTGTATCATTCAGTATAATTTGTTTATTTTAGGGCAAGATAATATCAAACTGGCAAAGCAAAGGGTGGAAGATAGCCTGTTCCCCAATAGCCCCCAAGAAGCAGTTTCTTGACCAGTGAAAAGGATTTTTATTGCCAAGGAGCAATATCATCTGGCAGTTTGCTCATTCTGGAATGTCAGAAGCAGGAAGGGAGAATCAAATGACAGAAAAGAAGCAAATATATTTACTCCTAGTGTTTCTATAAACTGATATGTCTTGGACTGATGCTTCAATGTATTCTACCAAATAACTATGTATCTATTTTTCCACTTTACATATGCCTGGGGCTCAAACTGTTCTTCTCATTTGACACAGCTCTGCCAGTATATTGAAGTTTGGGTTTCATGTTTTGTATTTTAAATAACCT